AATTTGCAGTTTGGTCCCTCCTCTACTTTCGGAGTGGGGTTCCCGCCTTGTTATTTTTGTCTTTGTTGTTGTTTTCCGGATTTTGAATTCCCAATTTAAGCCTCCGGCCAACGAAAAAAAAACTATTATAATTTAAAATTAGATGGCGCGTGGATGTGGACGTGCGCGCCGCACTGCTTATGGTATAGCAAAAGACCGCACAAATGCTTATCTTTTCAATTTCCATTTTTAGGTAATTTCTTATAACAAAATCAATGTGAAAAACAAATATGGAATGTTTGTTTTTAAAGGATAATCTCAACTTCACACCTTTCAATTTTAAGGAGAAATGTTACCTATAGAGGTTATACCTACCAAAACTGAAAAATGTTACCTTACAAGCACGGATTTATTCATCAACTAGTTATTGACTTATCGATATTCCTTAACGAAAGATATTCGAATTCGAAATAATTTTATTAAAATCAGTAGTTTGTGAAGTTTTTGTTTGAAACAATTGGTTCGCACCTTCACTCTTTATCCTTGGTGAGAGTTTGAGAGCATTCCGACCTATATTCCTATATGCACCTCACGACTGGAGATGTACATAGTGTAGGTGATATCTTAGACAATGAAAATCATAAACTTTCCGTTTGGATGAAGAAATTGAAAATTACATATAATTCTAAAATGATGGAATTTATATTTCCATCATTTCAATTTATGGCAATTGAAGATTTTAGTGTTTGGATTTATGTATGTCGAATTTTGTAAATGATACTATGGAAATTGTGAAATGACGCGCTATTTTAGTGAAAATTAAACTCGGGAATTTGATGCCTCAATTTTCACGATTTTTTCCACGCAACATTTAATAAATGCAGTGCTTAAGTTGCCAAACAAGGGAATTGTCAATTTCTCCTCTTAAATTCCCGACTTTTAGTTAAATTCCGAATTATTTTCCCTCATCCAAACAAAGGATAAATAAACAAAAATTGGAAAAAATAAAGTTTATTGATTTGTCAATGTCAATAAGAGGACCCCAATATTTATGTGTCAACTTCACTTTTATTTCTTTTTTTTATGCGGAACTTTTATTTCATTTGAAAATGTTGTTTGTCAATTGAACAGAAAATAATAATATAAAAAATAATCTAATTGGAATAGTAGAACCTAGGACAAGACTTGGGCCTGGTTTTTTATACTTGGGCTGCGCTTATTTTAAATAAGCCCACCTAGTGATGTTCAAAACTTTCCTTCTTCTTTTCTGGGTCTAATATACGAGGGTTTTGTAAACCCAAGCAGAAATCGAAGACGCGTCGCCTCCGCCTCCTCCTCCTCATTCGTCTTTGCTTACGTCTTTGCTTGTGGCTTTCTGAAGGTAGATTTACTCTCTGCATCTCTTCTCTTCTTCTGATGTTTGGTGGTTTTGATTTGGTGAAGAATGAGTTTGGAGGAGAAGTACCAGATGTTGAGGAGCATGGCAGAGGAATGTATTCAAGAGGACGAGCTTCAGAATTTGCTGGCTCATAAGTCCGAATGATGGGTTTGAACCCTTCGGTCGAATGCATATTGCTCAGGTGTTTTTTCAATTTTTCTTTAACAATCATAAAATTCATAACACATAATTGATGTTGATTATATATCTGTAAATTTCAATAGTTGATTTTGAACAAGATTTGATACTTTTTGTGGAGAGAAGGTACTCAAATTGAGATTCTGCAGTGTGTTATTCTCGTGTATTGATTATTTGGATTGCAACAGACTTTCTTGTGTTTTGAAAGAATAATTGTAGTAAGAAACTTAAGGGCATGTTTTCATTATGTCATTGTGGTTCAAATGTGCTGTTGTGTAGGGAGTTATGAAGACGATAAATGTGAACAAGATGACCTCCACTGGCTGCAGAGTGAAAATATGGATTGCAGATTGGTTTGCAATGCTAAACAATAAGATGGGGGGTGATTTGAAAAAGATAGAGACTGTTGGGCGCTACATGATAGAGATATGGAGGGCTGCTGGGATGAATTTGGACAATGGAAAAGTTGAGTTTTTGTGGTCTTCAAAGGAGATTAATGCGAAAGCAGATGAGTACTGGCCTCGTGTGATGGACATAGCTCAAAAGAATAATCTTAAAAGGATAATTAGGTAGGTAGCCTACTACAATGCTTATTGTGCCTATTATATCCGTTGAATTTGGACTTAAATGTATTTTTTTTCTTCTATATATCCAGGTGTAGTCAGATTATGGGTAGAAATGAGCAAGAGGATTTAACTGCAGCCCAAATTCTCTACCCATGTATGCAATGTGCAGATATATTCTTCCTTAAGGTGCTTGTTGTTTTACTTTTGGATATTTTATTATTATGTTTTGTTTCCCATGTTGCCTTATGTTGTGACATACTGTAGACTTGGCTTCATCATTTGCTATATTGCACTGATTAGTGAGGGAATGGTGCTAGTTTTTATGTATGAATGAAGTATATGTTAGGTCCACTTAGAACACGATGCATTTAATTTGTGATGCTTCAGTTCTTGCACCTATTATATAAAATTACTTGAATATGAACACTTAATAGTGAAAAGTGCAAGGAGGAACATAAAGACCCATTTACTGAAGAGCCCTACAAAAGGCTTTCCTAACACTTATCTATTTATTTAGCTCTTGTTTTTCTGATGTGTCTCCTGATCATAATGCTTATAACAGAGAAACTACTAGATTTTTGCAATATGGAGAAGAATGAAGAACATCATATACCTTTTAGGTGTTTTGAACACTTAAGTTGCCTTATGTGCACAATATTCAAATTACATAGTGACGTGTGAAATGTTTTTCCTTTGATAGGCTGACATCTGCCAGTTGGGAATGGATCAACGCAAAGTGAATGTTCTTGCAAGAGAATATTGTGATGACATCAAGAAGAAGAACAAGCCTATTATCCTGTCTCACCGTAACATTCTAATTCCTATTTCTGATGTTGCAATGCTATGTTTTATGCTTTAACATGAAAGTACTTACACAGTATTTGTTTGTTTTTCTTAATGATGATTTGCAGACATGTTACCTGGTTTGCAGCAAGGGCAGGAGAAGATGTCTAAAAGTGATGTATCGTCCTCCATATTCATGGAAGATGAAGAGGTGAGTTGCTTGCTACTAAAGGTGAACTAAACTTGCAAGTGTTAAATCACCTATATAAGCTGCAGATTAATTGGAAGACAAATGTACTCAAGTTTTAAGCTAGGGGTTTAGCTTTCATTGTATGCCACAAAATATTTATTCTATTTTTTGACGGTATATCATTGAATCTCAGGCTGAAGTGAATTTGAAGATAAAGAAAGCTTACTGCCCTCCAAATGTTGTTGAAGGGAATCCATGCATGGAGTATGTGAAGTATCTCATCCTACCTTGGTTCGATGAGTTTATTGTAGAGCGCTCTGAAAAGAATGGCGGAAATAAGTAAGTGATAGACTTTAGATTTATACTGGTAAAAAAAATTTATTTAAAACGCTTTTGCTTATTTGCCTAATTGAACCTCATATTGGTTGTAATTGTTCCTTTTGCTTCCCCCTCCCAAATACAGGACCTTCAAAAGCTTTGAAGAATTGGCTGCTGATTATGAAAGGGGTGAGCTACATCCAGCTGACCTAAAATCAGCTTTATCAAAAGCATTGAACAAAATACTGGAGGTAGGCTTAATTCTTTATATGCCATGTTCTTTTCATTTTGAACAAAATACTGGAGGTAGGCTTAACTTTGTTTTTCCTGAATGCAGCCTGTACGGTCACACTTCAAGAATGACAAAACTGCCAAACAGCTATTGCAAAGTGTCAAGGTATTTTTCTGGTTTTTCCTTCAAATAAAAATTTGTTTTACATATCTCAACATTATTAATTCGAAGTTGCCCTAAGATATAAATTTATTAGTTGGAGGAAAACTCAACCAAGTTTTTCTCTGGTGATGTAGAACTATAGAGTCACCAAGTGATGAATGCAATGGAGCTCGGACTTCACATCTTTTCCCTTCTGCTACTAATTGGTGGATGAGAAGACCTGTATTTTCTTAGTTTCTAATGGTACTGAAATTGTAGGGGAAATTTATTTTTTTGGCAGAAACATTTGATATCCTTAATTGTTTTTCAATTCGATCTTTCTCATATACTGAACAATGCCCGCAGGCCCCGTTTAGTTCATGGGAAAGGAGACTTGGGGATGGGAAATCAATTACTTTCCCATGTTTGCTAAGTTTAGGTATGGGAAATCGTTGCCTGGCCCATGGGAAAGTAAGGGGGGAAGTGAAGCCATCCTCCCAACTTGGGTTTTGTTTTCCCTCATGGAAAAGTTTGGAAAAATGAGCCAATATTAAATAAACATTTTTCATGATCATTTTGGCCCTATTAACAATTTAGAATTACAATATATCATTAAATGCATTATTTTTTTATTTGATTTAAAGAGGGTATAATTGTTTATACAAATTTTGTTTTCCATTCCTATTCAAAACAAACATGGTAAAGGAAATGAAGTGACATCTCTCGATTACTTTCCCAGCATTACCAAACGTGGGAAAGGAAATCTTCTATTTCCCATCCATTGGGAAATGACATGGGAAATGATTTCCCCTCAAATTCGTTATGTGAACCAAACGGGGCCTCAAGGTATTTTTTATATATGTGTCATGAAATTGTTTTGGTTCCCATCCTGTTTTTGTATGTGCGCTGTTTTTGTAATAAAGGCAGTATAGCTACGCGGCTATACGATTTTGACACGCATGGGCTGTGCCAGTTGGCTTTTTTAAAAATAAATAGTATAGCCGCGCGGCTATACTTTTTTGACACTTGGCGAAGCGGGCGTTAGGCGCTGGGCGTTTGACGGATCTTTTTTTCTTAGTAAAATAGTATAGCCGAGCAGCTATACTCGGTTGTTTTTTTGAAAACGTATAGCCGCACGGCTTCACTACACGTGGCGAAACCTTTGGGCCGGACGGAAGCTACTTCTTGTTGCGCCCGAGACTAAAAGGCAAAAAAGGACCTTCGATAACAAGGTTTTTCTTTTTGGCGGGGTCAGATAACAGTTGACACTTAACAGTTACAGACGAAGGAAAAATGGAGGAAGACGGAGGAGAACGAGCTCAACGGCGCCATCGGACGAGCTCCGAAACCCTAATCTCAGAGCCACACCTCGATCCACCGTACACGTGTCCTGAAAGCACACCCCATCCCGGTGAGGAGGACCGCACGGAATCGAAACCCGAGCTGAACCAGACCGAGATATTCCGAACTCTCGAAGTGGTCGAGAGAGACTCTCTCGCCATCGCCGACAGCTTCACCACTCTCTTCGCCTCCCTTCGGTTGGCTCTCTCTGAGGTCTCTCCCGCGTTTTATTTCAGTTTATTTACTTCGAATTTGTGTTTGGTTGCCGAGAAAGTGAAGAACACAAGGAAAATTAAATTTCTGCAATCCTTTAATTTTTTTTCTTTCGAGTTCGCTTGATATTAGATAATAATTGAAGGACTTGAAAATTTATCTGATTATGGACGATGTTGTATGAAGGTCACTAGCAACTCGGTTGATCACATGCATTGCTTTAGCGAGGCTGCTGGCCGCCTTCAAGAATCCGGTATCTGTTTGTGTAAAAGTGAACTTTCTGATCATTGATTTGAATTGTGAAATACTGGAAGATAATAATGTTCTTGAATTTTCAATTTCAGTGCTTGATTCTGCTACCAAGGGAAATCGGTATATAAATTCAAGTCTCAGGTAATTATTGAATGCTCTAATCATTTTGTCTTACGATTTAATAGATAGCGGAAAATGGAAATGGCTTTGAATGTGGTAGGATAACTCGTAATTATTTGTGCATAATATGATATGAACATGTCTGCAATAACTGTGATTCGTGAATTGTGGTTTCTGCAAGGACCATTTCTTGTTCTTCATATAATAGATATCGGACTATCTAACATGCCGTCATTTGTTTTCTAAGTATCTTAATTTCCTACTGTAATGTATGTCATCTATAAAAGTATTTTTGCGGTGTGTTATTTGTAGAGATGTTTGCTATTAACGTGTGGCGCACATCCTTGCGATGACTGGCCGCAGGAATACTTTCTCATGGAAGTTCTTAACTTTGTTTTCTTTTGAGCAAATCTGCTAATGCAATGCACTGATAGACGACTATCTCAGTAACTTTTGAGTCTCAGTATCTGTTGGGTGCTTTCTTAGTTTTAGGATGGAGAGGAATTAAAGTTTTAGGCAACTTTTTTCTCTTTTTGCTGGGAAATACCGGGGGAGTTTGCTTTTGCAGCATAACAAAACGTTGATTTTCCTATTTTGGGCAGATTGAATGAAGAAATGAAGGGCATAGACAGTCTAGCATTGCAGCTGTATCCTTAAACATTTGTTTCTTTACATACCCTATGTGTGTGTCTTACATACGTTATGCTTTGGCCTTCCATTTGTACCAATTACTTACGCAGAAATCAAGGATTCATCCTACTAAGTGCTGATATGAAGGCAGCTGTATATTCAGTCGAGTATCAATCGGCTGGCAGCTGATAAAAATTGTTAAATACAGTTAAGAATTTAGAATTCCCTTGAACTGCTATTCCTGAAGAGTGCTCTGCTTTTGCGATGTTGGTATTGTTTTGGAATCCTTAATGTATGTCCAGAAAAATCTTGAGGAGAAATGTTGATGCTCTAGACTCAGGTGTTAACAAGCTCCTCCGACTTCCGTGATGTAGACCTGTCGACCTGCCAGACGTATGATTGCATCAGTTATCGATGTGGGAACTTCTCTTCCAATTTCATTGCTTATTTATTATTGTTTTGCTTGGAAATTATTGTCATTATCGGTGTCAGGTCATGGGACAGCTTCATCAGAACCTTTGTTACGTAATTAATGGGCGAAATGGTTGTCCGATTGGCTGCAAATTAAGTAGATGTGCTGCTTTGTTAGCTAGCCAATAGGTGCAGAACGTTGAGAGCATTTCTAGACTGTTACATTGTAAGCAAATATTTGTGTGCAGTAACTCGAGAGATTAGTGTACAGATTTTATCTTCTTCATTCGTTTTAGGCCTTTTCAAGTGTTGTCTATTTCAAAAACTCTAAGCAGATTTCTTCCTTAACTCGATCTTTAATTGAATTATGTACCTAATCTTGGTAATTCCAGTTTGGTATTGCTATGCTGGGAAAATTATTGCTATCAGATTAGTTGTGAGAGAAATTAGCTGTGAGAGAAAACAGTTTGGCGTTTGGTAAACTTTTTGTTGAAAGTGTTGTTGGTATTGATTTCCACATAATTTTTAATAATAAGTGATTTTCTCACACATTTACCAAACGGGCTAGGCTTCCCATAAATTTTAAAAAATCACTTGTCACCCTAAATAAGCAATGTCAAACGGACACTAATTGGAACCCACTAGAAATAAATTTCTCACGGGCAGCAAAATTTTTGTATGCCTTGGGTAGATCTCACCTGGGTACTTTGGAAGTGAAAATGATGGATACATTAGCTGACATGGGTTCTGAAAACTTGTCAAAACTATTTTAGGAGGGCTAAATCTAACCCTTTGCAGCTTGTAGCTCAGCCCACCCCCTATTTGATTTGATGGTTCTCTAAACCAACTGTGGGTTTGGAATTCTGGTCCAAATACTATTACAAAAACAATCCCTTATTTTGTAGTGACTCTATACAATGAACTAGACTAAAATTCGAAGTACGACAAAATTTTCAACAAGTGTTCTAATTGTAGCCAAAATAATTATCACGTGGTCCAGTCAACAGAAAGAAAAAAAAATTGAAAAAAGGGATTTCATCAATTTCATCAATTGGGTTTTATTTATTTATTTATTTTATTTCACCTATCTTTTCAAATGGTCAAATCATTTTAGGTTATGATCTTTCAAAAAAAAACTTTGTTATATATTGCAATTAATGTCAACATATATTGATTAATATGAGACAAAAATTAATAACAAAGAAAGATTTTGGTCAATTGGCCTCAGATTAATCTCCTAGGAAGGAGAAACACTCTCATGTAACAGGAATAACACTTTTTGCTATCTTCGGCCAATAACTTAATGATATATAAAATAATCTTTTTACGTGTTATTGTGTTAGTGACCTAAAAGAGAAAAACAATGTTATTCCTCTTATAAAAACATTTTTTACCTAAGGAGGGGACAACTTGGGTTATATAAATATCCTTCTTTGCCACACCACACAATATATATTTGCTTACACATTACATATTTTAATCTTTTTGGTAAATCCCATATCCTATATCTTTGCTTACACATTATAGTTTATTCACGAATCACAAGGATTTTCTGTTCATCACTGTGAATAATAGGCAAAAATAAATACATAAGAAAATAATTAAATGGGATGATATTGGTAAGTTTCAGATTTAAAAAAAAATTGGGTTGGTGAAAGGTGCCAGTGGCTAATTAAAGCGTTGTCTCGACTCGCATAAAAGTATAATATCATAACATTACATCAACCACAGTGCAAACCAGATCTTAGTTGAAAAACTTCAAAGATCCTCCAGACATTGGAAGCCCTAAATGGTCCCACATTATTCAAACTTCCTATAGTTTCTAAACATAAAATTCAAAACCCTACTAATCAATATACTAGTTTTTCAATTCTTTTTTGTCGGCCAAAAACATAAGGGATTCGAACTTACTACTTCTTACAACATTAAGAAACGAAATATATACTTATTAAACAAATAATTAATTAATAACTTCTCAACACTATTGATTATATTGATTACACCGATAGATGAAAAATCACGGCGTATAATCCATACATTGTCTGCTAATCACCCTTTATTTAGCAATGAAAATAAAGGGAACCTTCTGCACAATGATGCTTGTTTTTTAGCACTGCAGAACTCGAGCTGTTTAGCTACCATATGCATATATATAGAGCTAGCACCTTCTACAAGTAAAAACAAAAACCACTAGAAGAAAGCTACCAAAAGAATCGAACACGCACATTGGTACTTAGCAAAACAACTTATAATGCAGTTGCAGAATAATAATATTAATATATATAGCCAAAAAAAAGAGCCATAATAATTCACAAGGCAATTGAGAAAATACATGAATTTCAGGAATGTGGTCCATATCATGATTTAAACTATTACCTGTACGTGGCATTGCATGTTTGGTATCTTGTTTTTGTCCTTTGTATTTGTTTCGCATTTTGTCCTTTGTATTTGTTTACACACATCGATCAAACGTTCCAGAAGAATTAGACCTTGCAATTAGCTAGGGATACTCAGGATACTATTCTCCTATCTAAAAGGTCAAGATTCAGGTTCAATTTTATTCAGGAATTTTTCTTCCGGGGGTCAAAATGAAAATGAAACACGCCTGCCACTTTACCTAGTTTGGCCTTGGCTCATGCCGTGCCTCGACCTCTTTAACATGGGCGGAACTAGCAACAAGGCTACCATGGGCTCTAGCCCAGGTAGCCTTTAAAAAATATTTAAAAATATTATATGTATTTTTATGTGATTTCACTCTATAAAAGATTAGCAGTCCACCCAAATGTAACCTAATAACCCCTTGTCCACTCAACCTATAGGCCTACAATCATCTTATATTTAATTTGTTTGCTCAGTTAAGGGCACCTCCAATGGAGATGTCAAATAATATGTATAAAAATTGGTGTGTGTGTGTGTGTGTGTATATATATATATATATATGTTGACTGACATAAGTAGACCTTGTTCTTCTCCTATAAATTAAATAAATTACAAATAACCCTTTATCTTTACCTCATCCCAGCCTCTTTTTTTTTTTTTTTCTCAGCCACCAAACAGACCCTGAATCATATCGACCCAAAAAATAAACCAAAAACTCAAGAGAAATGAAAATAAAATCCCTAACAGGCTAGCAGCTCAAATCTGACCGCTCAAATTAGACAATTTCAAGCTGCATTGTCATTTCACTCACACAATTCAAAAACTCCGCAATCAGATCGGAAACAAAAGAAGAAAAAAACCCTAACTTTCAGCAAACAAATGCAAGAGAATGTACGGACGGAATGTGGCCAAAGATTTACGAACCTGACGGGGCATACCAGACAGATCACACCAGAGAGAGAGCTTCGGGGCCGGCCGGAGGAATTCGAATTCCTCCGAGAGATTGCGAATGCCGTAGAGGAAAAACCAAATGCTGAAATTCTGAGGACCGATCCGCTTATGAAAATTGAGAAAAAAAAAATTATTTTTTTTGCTATTTTTAAATTTTTTTGATTTCGTTTTTATGGTCCGAGAAGAGAGAGGAAGAAAACTTTTTCGGAAAATAGAGGGAGTGAAATGAAAGATATGGGGTGTTGGTTGGGAATTGGGATTTTGAGTTTTTCTAACTTTTGGGTTTAGAATTAAGAGGCTGTACTTTTTGTTAATTTGCAGTTTGGTCCCTCCTCTACTTTCGGAGTGGGGTTCCCGCCTTGTTATTTTTGTCTTTGTTGTTGTTTTCCGGATTTTGAATTCCCAATTTAAGCCTCCGGCCAACGAAAAAAAAACTATTATAATTTAAAATTAGATGGCGCGTGGATGTGGACGTGCGCGCCGCACTGCTTATGGTATAGCAAAAGACCGCACAAATGCTTATCTTTTCAATTTCCATTTTTAGGTAATTTCTTATAACAAAATCAATGTGAAAAACAAATATGGAATGTTTGTTTTTAAAGGATAATCTCAACTTCACACCTTTCAATTTTAAGGAGAAATGTTACCTATAGAGGTTATACCTACCAAAACTGAAAAATGTTACCTTACAAGCACGGATTTATTCATCAACTAGTTATTGACTTATCGATATTCCTTAACGAAAGATATTCGAATTCGAAATAATTTTATTAAAATCAGTAGTTTGTGAAGTTTTTGTTTGAAACAATTGGTTCGCACCTTCACTCTTTATCCTTGGTGAGAGTTTGAGAGCATTCCGACCTATATTCCTATATGCACCTCACGACTGGAGATGTACATAGTGTAGGTGATATCTTAGACAATGAAAATCATAAACTTTCCGTTTGGATGAAGAAATTGAAAATTACATATAATTCTAAAATGATGGAATTTATATTTCCATCATTTCAATTTATGGCAATTGAAGATTTTAGTGTTTGGATTTATGTATGTCGAATTTTGTAAATGATACTATGGAAATTGTGAAATGACGCGCTATTTTAGTGAAAATTAAACT